CAGTGTTTACATGTTAGATCGTGTTTCGTTTTCGCCGCCATGTTTTTCTCTAAGTGCGCTGGGCCGCGTGTTATACATATTGAAAGTGAATTAAAAATATGTCAGTCGTTTCACTACATAATAAAGTACTCTGTGTCTTCGTGCATTGTGTGAGTTATGAGCTGTGGTCACCAAAGGTGACAGAAGTCGAGATTCAAGCGCGGATCGCGAAACCGGCTCCGGCGACAATCGTTGCTGGAATTGGAGACCAGTCGTGTAGCGAGACGACTATAGGAACTGGAGAAGACGGTGTTCAGTTCGTGGGACAGGTCAAGACCTGTCGCAGGCGCCGGTGATCGGCAAAATGTCCACATCCTGCAGTCGCCGAAGCCGCGCGCGGGCGCGGTGAACGGTGATGGTTTCCAGCCGCCACTGCCTCCGGGCTGGTTTGCGTCAGTTCAACGAGTTGATCAGGGGGCCTACTATGAGCTCTTAGAGTAATCCTATTTAAGCCTGCCCCCAGAGCCCCGTCTGTAGTGGAAGAAATGTGTTGGGAGTTATTCCCGAGCCCGACACTATTCGTCAGCCGATCACGCTGTTCGAGTCATCGCGGCTATCGTACGCGCCACTGCGTGCGTTTGCGGTGGCGGTTGCGCCGCCCCTTGCCCCCGTGTCCGACTGGGGAGTGCCGCCGCCGTCGACCGCTGGAAGTAGCACTACACCGGCGCGTGCGGCGCCCCCAGGTCTTGTTGGTATTGGACGATCAGGGTATGTGGAAAGTTCAATTAATATGCCGCCGGTTAGGTATATCGGTCGCAATGATCTTTTATCTGAGTTCTACCCTAAGACGTCTATGATTACTGTACATACCTATGTATAAGAAAAGTGGAAGGAATAGCCAGTATGTACAGTTGGGACGAAAAGACAGTTATATTTAATTGCTTGTCGAAGTTAAGAGGTTATGCACGCCAGTGGTACGATCAGTTGCCTGCGAGTCTGCGAGTGAAATGAATTCATCGTGGTCAGATTTTAAATTGAAACTCTTAACCGTCTTTCCGTCTCATAAGATTAAACTAAATAGGTATGTTGCGCGATTTAGTGAATATTGTCTAACAATCCGATATCGACTATTTACATTTTTATTATGACAAGTTGGCGCTGGGGAATGCTTGCGGCATTCCGCCACCGTTGATAACTGAAGCAATTATCGGGACCATCGGTAGTGACCTTGTAGAGGTCGGCGCGGTGTCCGCGGGTTGTGCGGACCCTAACAAACTTTTAAATTATTTGTCGTCTTTGAGGTCAACTACGCATATATAGATTTTAACTATGCGTGCTACTCAGCGGTATGTTGGCCCATGTTATCATACAAAAAGCGAAAGTCATGTCAAGTGTCATAATTGTAAAACAGGTATATAGTATAGGTATTGCAGCTCGTTGTACATATAAAATTCAAGATAAATTAACTTCAGCTTGTACTTTTTGTGGCGGAAAGGGTCACAAAGAAAATAATTGTTTCCTAAAAATGCGCAAGTGTTCTTACTGCAATAAAATGCAAACACAAACATATTAAGGAAGAATGCTTAAAGCTAAAGAGTCGTAGGTCTTCCGCCGTGAATACGGCTACATCACAATAGACATTATACATTGCACGTCATTCAGGATGCATCCAGTGGTTTTTTAAGTACTATACGACAGCTAAGGTAAATCACAAACCAGTTTTAATGTTAGGTATTGCTAAACTGCCTGGTTTAATGTTACGTATTGTTAAACTGTTTTATTGATTTTTGAAGAATTTTGGGAGATACCTCATGCATAATTGATTTTTGAAATATTTTGGTAGTCATGTGTAACTACTCGTATTACCGAAAGTGTAATTTTATGGCATTATGTTAATGTAATATAATATAATGTAATGGCGTAAATGTCTTTAAGGTCTTAGGTGGATCACAAATAACACGGTTTAGGCTTGACCTTGACAAAAGCTAGTGGTGGACGATACCACATGGGACGGCATTATGTTATAATAGGCGTATATTGTATATATATTGTTCCCGATTATGCACAGGATCTGCAGCTTGATTTTGATTGCCTCTCCCGATCGGAGACTGCGTCTTTAACGAGTCGAGGCGCATAGTTGCGATTCACAACTTTTGACATTTCTAACAATTCTTTCTAAATTTCTAAATATTCGGAACAGTAGTTGACTTAACTTTTAGAAAGATATAGTAGGAATCAGGTTCATCTTCTCGCTCAGAAACGCATCTGATTTCATGACTATCTGATCGGATCGATTCCGATTTGAATCAAAATCAGGACGTTGGGCTTAATTATTGGTTAACTCTACAGAGTTTAGTAACGTCTACATGGTAAAGACACCTACCTCTTCAAAAATATGTAATG